TTACATAATAACGGTAGTCATTAATACATAGAAACATTGAAAATTAAGATAGCCCCTGGCACTCAAAAAACACTCAGTGTTCATTATTGTTTTTATTGTACCAAACATTTCGTGGCACCCAGACCTTTAACCCAAGCAAATGAAGACAGAGAATGTTTCTAAACATGATTTAGCCTACATTAGAATTTTAGAAGCAAGGGATTATCAAAATGAAAAAATGTTTTGACTGCATTTTAAGACACGAAGTCCAAAGTGTTTATTGTTATAGAATTTTTAAAAAGTTGATTCACTCAGGCATGAAATTATTCCCAAAGAGAGCAGCTGAGTGTCCCTGTAACCACCCTGTGTAACATATTAATGTACGTCACTGCCGCATGACTGTCTCCATGTCAGTGCCTGCCACGGAAAGTCATATTTCCCTGTAAAAACAACTCTGAACATGATGTGATTAACCTTTAGGGTCCCCATCCCCTCATCTCAGAGCCCACCTCTTGCCAATGCCAGACCTCTGTTTCCTCCTCTTGTTCAACCATCTTATTTCCATATCCCCCACTCAGGCTCACCAGTGGGTATTAGCATAACAGAGCTGTCCCTTGACTTTGATTGAAGCCAGCTTGGCTTGAATGCAGTATCAAAGCATAATTTAGCAGGAATCAAATCTAATTTACTGTGCATTGTATTTAAATTCTCAAAACACAGTTTTGAGAGAACCATCCCAGACCTCTTGTCTTAATTGACCTTTCTGTATTCTGATCTGAGGTTCTGGCAATTGCACAACATACTTTTCTCACGGAACTGCTGTTTTTAACTTGTCAGCGTCTATTAAGCACACTGAATTGTACCACTGTGTTTACTTCAGCTCATTTCTTGCTATAGCTGAAGCACTAAGGTATAATCACCAAACAGATTAAACAAGAAGGTTATTACATCACAATTACAAAAGATTTGTCTAATGGTTTCAGATTTTAGAGAAGATATAAATATGCATTTATAGTCTTTCTGTCTTAGAAATCGATGGGAATTGCCATTTCTATAACCAATATATTCTTCACAAGTTGAAAACGCAACCTCTTTAATTCACATTGCATTTCAGTGTGTGTCTTGAATTGTTGTCTTGAGGGCCTAATCGAGGTTTGTATATGTCATGCGAGATATGATAGGAACTGCATTTATGTGCAGCACATGTGTGCTATTGGGCTGTCTTGATACAACGGCCCTGCATTGCCTCCTCCCTCCCACTGGTGCCATCAGGCAGGCTCTCTCTTCTCAGACCCCTTTCACTGCTACCTGGCAAAAATATGGAAACTGGGAAGCATTTTCAGAAGAGTTATGATTCAATTTTTTTTAACTCTCTAAAATGTAAGTTTCTTTAATTAGTATCCCTTCACAGAAGATTACAGTTTAGATCTTGGGCCGAGAAAGAGAATCTGCAGAAGTAGAAACGATGCATGGAACTTGTATTGGCGGCAATAAACAAGGATGCCCATTTACAAACACTTGCATACTCTTGACATTTTGCTTCACTCTGATTACTTTATTCTAAAAAACTAAAACTATTTTAGTTTCAGTGGGATCACTGTGCCTTCAGCTTTGGTGACATTTAGTGACTTGGTACATTGAAAGTAGAGTATATTTATAATTCTAATGAAAGTGCAGAATCAATAAACATCGCGTAGGTGTATATTCCATAGAATATTAGCACGGATGCTGATAGCTTTTGGCTATTGGAGTTTTAAAAATTTCAGTATTGGGTAAAACTCTAGAAATTCTGATTGCCTGGATATTGTTTTTTTAATAATCTCCTCAGTGGTAAATTTTACACTGTGATATTGCAGAATCCCTTTGTTGTTGTTGTTTAAAAATTCTGATGAAATGTTCACCCAAGATGCTAAGCAGAAATTTCACATACATATTGTGTTCCAACTTCATATGGTTTCCAAATCTGGGGGGTGTTCTTTGCTAAGACATCATCATCACTTTCAGATGGATCTTTCCAAAACACAAACTTAATTTAAACTATCATTCCTATTAGAGAAAAATCTAAGTATCTGCTGATTCAGTGGACCAGTGTAGAAATAACAAGAAGATTGCAAGAAGCAAGTAATCTTCTAAAAATATAAGGCAACATAAGCCACAGTCTGAATAGATTCATAAATCTGGGCTTCTCATGCTGTTAGAAGCAGTTGTCTGTTATCTGTAGTTATAGAAGAGCATTTCTCTCTGTAGATTTTTCCTTGTGCCCTTGAGGTTTCTGTGTTGAATTAGGAGGCAATATAAATAGAATGCCAATGCAAACAAAGTCACTGAAAATCTCCATGATTTTTTAGAAGAAAGTAAATCCTTTATCTCTTCAACATATCCTTGTAAAGATGAGTAATTGGTTGTATGTGTAGGAGGACCTTACTTTTACTCCATCCTTAGACCTGCACTTATCTCTGTTCTTGACAGACTAAAAAAAATCACAGGTGATGACCTTTCCTGGACACTGCTTATTGCTGGCGTCGTGGTAAACACAAAATCTAGGGCTGCTGCCAGGTGCACCAGGCTCTAAAACTTAGACTTGTTTTTAAAGCCCTTCAATGCCCTTGGTTTTTTAACCTAAGAAACTAGTTAAAGTGAAAACAGATGCTTATAAATGTCATGGTGTAAACATAGTGTTGGCTTTTCCAAGAAATTCGTTTTTAATTGAGAAAGAGCGTATCTTGCGATAGCTTCTGTCTCCTGGCCATTTCCTTCTCTTTGCCAATTGGGCTCCATTTGGTCATTTGAGGATCTCTGTCCATGTCTTGCCTTTCTATTTGCAGTTTTGTTGATCAGGTCTCACTTTCTTCATTTACATAACCTTGGCTCCTAAGCAGACTGTCTAAGGTATTGACATACCTCCAATCCATGCCACCCGTAGTGAAGAAATTTACAATAATTCGACTTTGTGTCTATTTGCATGTATTGTTTTGAAAAAGAATTCAGATAAACTCCTCACTTGATTTTTCATGGTTTTCTTACCCCATGTCCACATCTATCCATAGTAACATTTATATAAGCCGGGCCATCCAATCGTGCTTCATGATGACTGTATGTCACGTTCATTCCCAACATCACGTTCATTCCCAACACTTATCATTCCTCCCTAAGTGTCTTTGTGTTGCTGTTGTTGGACCCCATTGTCTCTGCTCTGACTCATAGGGACCCAAGACAGAACGAAATAAAACACTCTCCTCTCTTGCACCATCCCTTGTTAGGCATGAATTATTTCCCCAGGTTATCTAAATACTGCCTGGCCTACTTTTCCGGTGCTGTATAACAGATCTGCCACAAGTTGGTGGTGTTAATAAGCAGAAGTTTATTCTCTCACAGTTGAGGAAGCTGGACATCTACGTTGAGGGGAATCTTTTCTCTGAGCCCCCTGGTTCCAGCCTATGCCTGGTGCAGGGACACTGGGTCCAGATGACATCGCTTTGGCTCTTTTTTTCTGGGTTTAAGTGCCCATTTTTTTCTCCCTTCTTTTTCTTTCTTATCAGATGAAAGGTGATGTACGTCATGCCCAGAGAAGTGCATTGGCTCAGTAGAGCATTGCATCCCACCTTAATCTTTTTACAACTGATGAGCTTATCGCACCAGATCACAGCATGAGATGACTGCATCATTTCATAATGACTAATGACAACCACGGCCTCACCAAGTTGACACATATTTTGAGGGGCACACAATTCAATTCATGACAGTGCCCATCCGCAAAGCAAATGTAATGTCCATTTCATATGCAAACTTTCCGTAGCCACCATAGCATAGGGGATTTATCTGCTCTGGGGCCCTATCATGCTTCATCTGTGCCCTGTGATGCAGGCCTCCTCCTGTCCTCTGAGAATACTTCTGTCATGCACATACCACACTCCTCCACCATTGTGGATTCCATTTTGGCTTTGCCACAGTTTACATTTTCTGTGAGACTGTAAACTTCTTAGGAATCCCTGCGTGACACGCATGGTTAAGTGCTCAACTCGGAAGCAGTAGGATGGTGGTTCAAACCCCGTCAGAGGGGCCTCAGAATAAGAGCCTGCTCGTGGTCTCCGGAAAGCTCACAGCTTGGACTGCCTTATGTAGCATCACTCCCTCGACACCCAGGCGATAGCCATGAGTAAAAATTGAATTGTGGTTTTCTTGATAAGCTGTGCCCTGACTGAGCAAGAGTTGCTTTTTTTTAATATATATATATATCTGTATTTTTAGTTCCAACTAGGAGGGCATAGTAATTGCCTGATGAATGTGTATTTCTCTGAATCATTGTCAAATGAATTAGGTCAACAATGTATGAACATGTCTTTACATTGTTAGCCAATTTGATTTCTCAAGGTAAGCACTCCGCAAACAGTCGCCATCAATCATACGGATCCAATTTCTACTCGACATGCCCAGTGTCTACTACCAAAAAACCAGAGCTATTGCTATAAGTCCATGGTGAGGCACAGCACCCCTTTAGGACAGAGTAGAAGTGCTCCCAAGAGTTTCGGAGACTATGAAACGATGCCTCCGCGTTCTCCCATGGAACAGTCATTGGATGACAGCCACCCATCTTTCAGTGGACAGCCCAAGACATAACTCACTATACCCACAGAGTGTCAATAATTGGGGAATCATCAATATTGGTCAATAGGATCATCTGATGTTGTGTAAGGGCGTAATGACCTTCTTTGTCTAAAAGGGAAGGCCAACTAGGGAAACAATCTATTTTCAAAAAAGATACTGAAATATTATTAAACAGCTATTTTTATAAAAGTCTCTGGACCACAGGCTCACTATATACATTTAAAAATGTGTAAGATTAAGTTCACTTTTTCTCTCCTATCGGCTGGAGTGTTTGTGTGATGAGAAATGTGAAAAATAAAAACGGTCAAGCCCCGGCCTGGCACCGACCCAGGCACCTTGTCCCAGGTTTCCTCTTGGATGTCATTTTCTTTGTCGATGGTTGATAGTTACATGCTTTCTCTCCTTCTAAATTGTAGCACCCCCGCAGTTTGTGGTTAGACCGAGAGACCAGATTGTTGCTCAAGGTCGAACCGTGACATTCCCCTGTGAGACCCAAGGAAACCCACAGCCAGCGGTTTTTTGGCAAAAAGAAGGCAGCCAGGTAAGCATGAGACTTGATGGCTTTTCTCAAAACCTGACCTCCTCCTGTCTGCGATGATTCTCAGAATTTACCTAGCGGTCATCAGTGTTGCATTTGTTCCGTTTCTAAAGAAAAGAGACCCAATGAGCTTTAAAATGTGTAGGAGTCAACTGTTCTGATAGAATGTTCTCATTTTGTCCACTCTTTCTGAAAGCGTGGTTCTTTTGTACTGAGAAAGGACTCAGTGCTCCTAAATGTGCTTTAAAGATCTAATCAGAACCTCTGGATATTTTACAAACTGAGTAGGAAACTAATTTTTCTTTCTTGCATTTAGCTGCATAGGGATGAGTTTTTAAATTCGTCTAAATAAATTGTTTAGAATAGTGTCTCGAAAGCATGGAAAATATTTCCATCATTTAGCCTGGAGATCTTATTTTCATATCATGTCATAGTTACATCATTAAAAATATTTTTTATCATTGATATGATTATTGACTGAAGCATGATTCTATTTACAAATAGAATAATGTTTTGCCTGATTTTTAATATATCACTTCATGGTGGGGCTAGATAGGACATAACACAGTATATGCAAGAAGGTAAGAGCTATGGTGACGCAAGGAATTTCGATTTTATAGTCATTGTGTGTTGGGTTGCTAACCTGGAGGTCAACAGTTTGAAACACCAGCCACTCTTAGGGGGCAAAAATGAGGTTTTGTACTGCCATGAAGAATGAGTCTTGGAAATCCACAAACACAATTCTGCCCAGTCCTATGGGGTTGCTAGGAATAGAATTGGACTCGGTGGCAAGTGAGTGAGCCTGGTTTCCCACCGGGTAAGTGCTTGACTGCTATCCCAAGGATGTGTGGTGTGAATGCGCTCAGCAGCACACGGAAAGACCACAGTCTAGGAAACCTATGAGACAGTTCTGTTCAGTCCTGCAGGGTTGCTATGACGCAGAATCATCTTGGCAGCAACGAGCACAGCAAAGGAAACTTCTGTGTTGCCTGTGCTGCGGCCTGATTTGCCTTTTCCAGGGCCTGTGTCTTTACTAAAATTAACTAGATACAGGACTTCTTTGATTCAAGGTTTAAGTCTGTGGTGGGGTCACTGTTGTGCATCTAATATTGGACGGAATTTCCAGCCTAAACCAAATGAAATATTCTGCTTTGCCCAAGAATGTATGGGTGCATTCCTAGGGGTGACAGAGATTCTTATTCTAGACTCCCTAGCAACACCCCCAAAGATGCACAACGTTCTCAGGAAGACATCCAGCTATCTTCTTCTCAGCACCCATTGGTGTTAGTTCTTTTCCTGGAAAAGTTCCTGAGGGAACAATGGAATCCCCTGGTAAAAGGACCAAGAAATCTAAAATGTTCGCCAGAGATATGGCTATTTTAAGAACTTGTTTTTTAAAAAAGTAATCATGTGTCTGCCTAGAGAGACATCTGGAAGCTCTTCTGCCTCATTGCCTCTAATGGAATTGGGGTCCTATACATTGCTGGACTGCCCTGCACTAGCAGGTGTAGCATCTCAGTCTCAAGACAAGTGATGTTGATCCCTTCCTCTCCTCTCCTTTTGTGGATTCACACATCTGTTGTTTGGTAGGAGATGCAGGTGGTGATGGAAAATGGTTCCGTTAGAGCCACTGCTTTACCTTAGTTCACATCAGATTGTTTTCGATCTCTACTCACAGACTTTTTGTGTGTGTTTTTTTTTAAATTTGAACTTGGGGATTGAAGCATTCTAAATTCTAAACAGAGTTTAGCCATGGCGACCTAGTTAAACACACATATGCAGGCACCAACACAGACACACACTCTTACTAATTCCCTCACCAAAAAAGGAGTCAATGCAAAAGCCATTTCCACACTTTGTGTTTTGTGTGTTACAATGTTTATAGTTTCGTTTAACTTCAAAAGAAGTAATTTTCTTATTCTGTGATTTTAGAAAATATTTTACATGAGTTAGGAAAACTACACCCTTCAGATGGATCAAATAATTAGTTGTACTTTACACAGTGTGGTCAAACAAACCAAAATATAATATTCACTGCCTTCAAGTCAGTGCCGACTCATAGTGACCCTATAGGACAGGGTGAAGTGGCCTATGCATTTCACTACTGTAGCTGTTTACAGGGTAGAAAGCCTTAAATCTGTCTCCCGCACAGAGGGGCTGGTTGTCTCGAACTGCTGACCTTTCCAATTGTATAACCACAATTCCATAACCACAGTTCCACCAGGGCTCCTACGATAAAACAAGATCATTGTAAAGATAAGGATATAAGATATTTTATTATTATAAATTATGCTTTACATTGGCTTGTGGGATAAAATGCCATGAAAGCCTGTCTTGTTACTATGTTGGTCCAGCTGTATACTCCTATTGAGTTATTCCTGACTTATAGTGACCCTTTCAGACAGAACAGAATCACCCTGTGGGTTTCTGAGGTTGAAGTCCTTATGCTTACAGATTCTGTTTTTTAAATACATTTCTAATCCAGCCACTTGAGGATTAGAACTGTCAACCTTTGGATTAGCAGCCAAGCGCCATAACCACTGCATCATCAGGCCTAGTTGTATGTCAATTACATCTCCTAAAATAACTAGATGTCTTATTAGGGGCTTCAAAGAATTTGTGGGAAAATTCCATTAATTTCGTTTTCCGACAAACTTTTGAAGACCCTCTTGTACAAAATAGTACATACACATACCATTTTAAAACATGCTACATTGTATTTTAGTGATTGTGAAACAAGAGGAGTAGTGTAGCGATCACATGGCGGCCAGTGATCCACATGGTTCGCTGCTTGAAACCACCAGCAGAGAGAGACTGGGCTTTCTACTCCTACAGGCAATCGCAGTTTCGGAAACCCACAGGGCATCGCTGGGATTCAGCAGTGACTTGTCACTGGTAGTGAGTTTGGTTTTGAGTTTAACGATCAATTAGCATTTAAACCCTGTTTGATTTTTCCTGTTAATTGGTGAAGCGAAATATGATTCCAAAACAATTAATTATAAGGGTTACACAAAATTTGCAGTCTGATCATTTTATTTGATTGTATTCTTAGGTATAGTTTGGCCCCCCCTTAATTTTTCTCCCTCCTATCACAGAGAATTAGAACAAAATAGAAGTGCTTGATCAAATTGTGAATTTTCCCATCATAGAAGTATTTGATCATATTATGAATTATTCCATCATGAATTGTGATATTAGAAAAAATAAATTGGCCTTACTGTCTCTAGTATCCAATTTTTACAGTGATCTATGACTACCCATCAGTACAAAGAGTTAAGAGCCTGGACTAATGGTCCATATGCCTCAATATGTGCTGATAATGCCAATTAGCACTAATAGGGTGCCCAGGCGCTTCAAGGCAAGAGGAGCTCTGTAGCGTTCCTGGTCTTCACTTGTAATCCCCTTTCTTTTGCCTTGGTCACACAAGCAAGGCATAAAGATGACAGGTTAACCTCAATCATATGCCATTTTCCATGTCAACGAATCATTTAGAAGGTGGACTGATATTACATTATAGAGAAAGAGATCCCAGAGTGAATTAAACCCATCTGATATATTAGTGCTATGTAAATTAGTATTCTAATGGATAATTGTAGGAAAGTGCACACTTTGAGTTATTGCATCATTTTCAAGTGGCTTTAAAATTTGGACTCTGCTCTTTTAGATGGTTTATTTCAGTAATACGTTTGGTTTTCATGGGAGAATTAACTTGTACTCAAATTATGTTTCACATGTGTGGAAATGTCTAGCCTCATACAGTAACACACATTTTATAAAAGGGCAATAGCTTTTGGAAATGATATTCCTGACATGCTAGCAAACACCACTTCTTTTAGCAGGGGTTTAATAACATGGTCATGTTTATGCAAAGTGGCCTTATAGTGTCACACTTGAATCTAATAAAGTGGACGTCCATCATGTTGCAATAAAGAGAAGAGCTTCTAATTAAAGTAGGACATCATTTGCAGGATTAAAGTCATTTAGCGTAATTGAAAAGTGTTAATACCCTATTTTATCCTCTTCCATTGGTATTACTTCAAGGGTAAAAACATTTTAAGGTGAAAATGTGTCTTGTGCCTTTAATTGAATGCTATTACCTCTTGATTGTAGCGTATTGAAACTGTTTAATTACAAACCTGGAAAATTAATTACTATATTGAGAAACAGATCCCAGAGGGTTATAATGTTCTATTTTGTAAGTAAATACAACATAAAAATTGATATCTCCTTATTTATAATCCAACTTGGAAACATAACTCAATATGATTTATTATACCCAAATGTTTTCCTTAATTGAACAACCATAAAGCAACATGGGTCATCCAGGTTACTATCACTGCTTCCATATGAGAAATTTTAAAGGCTTGCAGGTAGGGCACATGTATTTATTATTACCTATTAGGTAAATTTATTTTTAAGTTATGCTATATAATTCTTTAAGTTTATCGTGTATATTTTTCAAAATCATACCACATTGCTTGTTACTTTCACTAACTTAGGTAAGTTCATAGAGCCTTCAAATTAAGCAAAACCCTGTCGTGGCCTACTGGAAGTTTACAACAAAGGATGACTCAGCTGTCGGTGCCGGTTTTTGTCACACACTGTTGAACACCTTTAGAAGAAACTGAGTTGATCCCGTCAGTATTTCAAATGACCAAACAAAATGATATTTGATTTGGGGGGCCTTGACAGCTTATCAAGTACAGAGACAGTTCATATCACAGTCCTGATCTTCCTGTATGATGCCTTGAGGCAGCTAAGCGTTATTACTGCCCATTTTACAGATGAGGAAACTAAGTCTCGAAGGTGTTAACTAGCTAGCAAAGGCCATAGACTAAGATAAAAATGCAGCTGTTTGAAATTATAGATGACTGCTTCATCTACTAGATTATGCTTACTTCTTAGAGAAGATATTTTTCCATGATTTGGAAAACATTTCCCAGTAGATCTCACTGTATGACACTTCCCAATTTTAGTACCCCATTAAAAAAGTGTTTTTCCAGGCATAGGTCCCATGATTATAATAGCTGTTATTATTTCATTGCCGAGTGAGAAAAAATGCTAAGAATATTGTGTTTGCTTTCACAGAACTTGCTTTTCCCAAACCAACCCCAGCAGCCCAACAGTAGATGCTCAGTGTCGCCTACTGGAGATCTGACTATCACCAATATCCAGCGTTCCGACGCAGGTTACTACATCTGCCAGGCCCTAACTGTAGCAGGAAGCATTCTGGCAAAGGCTCAATTGGAGGTTACTGATGGTATGACATCATTATTATGATGACTGCATCTTATGAAAATGATTACTTTGTTTCAGCATACACATCAACCATGTTATTATTTTTCTTCTGATTTCCTAACTCATTTAGGTTTGGGCTTATTCTCGGAGTGATGCTAGATAAAATACCATCTTGACTGTTTTACAATTCCTCTTGATATTGCATCATTTTATCCCAAAGAACAAAATACCATTTACTTTATTCTTAAAAATATAGCAGTGCATTATTTAAAACATGTGGTTTATATTGGCAGTATATTGAAATATATACTATAGGAGCATAGTTCTATTTAGACTTATGATGACATAATTGCTTCCAGTTGATATTAATAATTTTATTTTATTAAAGGAGGAGGAGATATAACCTATAATATTATCAGTAAAAGCAGAGCTATGTTTATGGGTAGCTAATCATATTATGAAATTCCTGTGACTTCTTAATTATACATTCACTAAGTTTAATTAAATGCCTACCAAAGTACTGATGAATGCTAAAATTAAATTTATCATTTGCACAAATATACGATAATTCTTAACGGAGGAACCTAATTATAATAAAATTTGAAAGAGATAGGGTTCTGCATAATTTTAATTTCCCCAATCCCCCCATTGAGCTAGGTTGTCATCATTGACAGCTAAGTATTTTGTGAATCTCTTAGCATTAACTTAATCCCTGTCTTTTGATGTATTAAATAAAAAATATTTTCTTGTGCTATTATATGTGGGGGCTTGATATTATTTTGCTTTTCTTCTAATGCTGCCTTCTGAGGCATTATAGCTTTGGTTGGGGACATCTCTAATCCCAATCTTTCTGTTTTGCGGGCAATTCAATGTGCTTTTATACAATTCAAATTTTCATGTAGATTAAAAGGTCATTTAAAATTAATAGAAAGGCAATATTTTTTAATACATGTCCACGGCATCGCCTGATTCAATGTCATGTCAGGAGTGGGAATAAATAGAGCAGACAAACATTGGCTTGGAGGACATTGAGTTGTTAATGGCTGCACCTGCTGATGCTGCAGAGATTTACTGCAACAGAGCTGAGAGAAGTCAGGTTCAAGGGTAACCATGATGAGAAATTCTTCCATTTGACGGGAAAGTTCTTTGATCTTTTGTACCTTGGTTTTTCTTTAAAAGCAAAGATGATTGCTAATCATTATAAGCCCTTATGTGTTCTATGATTACTGAAAAATACCAAGGTACATATACTTGGAATATAAATAGTCTACCCAAATAACACTTTTTATTCTGAAACACTATACAAAACATTCCAAATATAATGGTAGAGATCTCTATTGCAATCTAGTTGCTTATAGTATTTTATGGAAGGTAGAATTTAAAAATGAAGAAATGGCTATAGAGAAGGCAAGTCATATTTGTAGACAACACAATTGACAAAAAAGAAAGCCAGTTGATAATGACTGATGTTTTTAAATGGAATTTAATTGTTCCATCTCAGAAATAGTATTGCATTTAATTTCTGATTCTGAAACTAGAAGACCAGTAACCAGGTGGACACCTGACGACATTTTAGTACAACTGACTTGGATATTAATTCCTGCATTGGTTTTTACTGAAGGAAGCAATCACCGAGTCAAACTCCTTTTGTAGCCACCCATACGTGGGGGTTATAGAAGTTATTGATTTTGATGACAAAGAAATCTAACTTAAAGATCTCAATATCTATATGAATACACATAAAATATATAACTATACAGGATGGATATATAGACATCTGTGTGTGTGCCAATTTCTAAGCATCAATTTTCCATATTGCCTAATGACTTATAATTCTATTCATAGCTTTAGATTTTTCAGATTCTTTAGTGATTTAATAATCCCTGAGGTATCACTTTCATTTGGAACATTTGGTATAATCCATGCCAATCTAGAACCAATTGAAATTCTAGTGCAGAAAGAAAACACATGTCATATTGAGAATAAAAGCAGATGATTAATTATTCTTGCTATAGCACTGTTTCTATTGCTACACTTTTGCACTCAGACTTTTTCCCTCAAAATATTTTTGACTCAAGGATTCCTGTGAGATGCAATTGCTTATGGTGAGGAATGGTGCTGTGTTGAGTGAGAATTTGTATTAGTTGTAGATTGAGCTCAGAAGTTGCAATAAACTTGAATTTGAAAGTGGTCTGATAAACTAGTTGCTCATTAATTCATTAGCACTGTCTTCATGTCTTCGACCCTAATGTTGTTCTTTCAGATGATTAGGCATTAGTATGAGTGCTCCGTGAGGTAAGCCTGTAGAACTTAGACGGAATAGAGAGTAGAAATGTATTCATTTCTTACATGGACCATAAATATCACACCATGATCCTATATGAATAGTTTATTGAGGATTTATAAGGCATGGTTAGTAAATATCACGGAGCTATACAAAGGTCACTGGAAACCCTAAATGTTCATTTAACCTTTGACCTGAGTGTCATGGAAACCTGTGGTCCTCTTTCACCCTTAAAACCCTTGAAACTGAAAATTCCTTCTAGCCAGGAGATTTTCAATTACTTTATTGATCAAATTCATTTAACATGCAATGAGCTGTTGTGTGTGCAGCAAAAAAAAAAGAAAGAAGAAGGACAAAAGGAAGAGGAGAGAGAAGGGAGGAACAGAGAGACTAATTAATAATGATTTGATGGATTACAAAATACAGAAGAGTGTTATAAGAAATTCCTACAATTCTACATAGGTGTTTGATTAAAAAAAAGTAACAGTCTTTAAAATTCAAGAAATATGTCTACTATGGTAATTTTAGACCCATTTTTAATTTTTTTCTTTGATCTTTCAAAAAGCAGTTTAATAGGAAACTGTCAACCATACAGAATGTTAGAGAATAGCATGATTAAATTACGTTCTTTTAAACTCATGACTCTGATAGGTTTCACACACCCCCAACCACCACCCCTCCCTCCATAGATTACTTTTAAAACAAATCCCAGGTATAGAAATGTCTAAAAGTAATCCCCTTATTTTTCTTTTTTTTTTTTAAATTGTTTTATTAGGGGCTCATACAACTCTTATCACAGTCCATTCATACATCAATTGTGTAAAGCACATTTGTACATTCATTGTCCTCATCATTCTCAAACATTTGCTCTCCACTTAAGCCCCTGGCATCAGGTTCTCATTTTGCCCCTCCCTCCCCCCCCCTCCCTTATGAGGGATAATTTATAAATTATTATTTTGTCAT